GCCTGGCGCCTGTGCCGTTTGGCAAGGGGCTGCGTGGCCGCGCGGCTGTTCTGGCCGCTGTGGCTCCTCTTCCAGGCCGCGGCGGCCTTGAGGAGGCGTGCCGCGCCCGTCTCGCCGGCACTGCAGGGCGCGAGGGTTCGCCCTGCCCAGGGGCTCGCAGCCGTGGCGCCACCAGTCCTGGGGCCCTCGGCACTGGAGCGGCTCGCGGCGTGGTCTTCGACCACGAAGCTCCGCCGTGGGGCGCTGCTGGTCTTCGCGAGTTTCCGCGCGCGGCCCCGCCTGGACTGGGCGGGCCATGCCATCCTCGACTCGACCATCGCGATGCACGTGGGCTGCAGGCCCCTCCTCGGCAACAGCGGGAACCTCTGGCGCGTGCTCCTGGCGTCGAGCGCTCACTGCCTGGACTCGCTCCACAAGTGGGCCGCGACGCTGCTGCCGTGGGCCCATCGCGCAGCTGCGGCCCAGGCCCGGGCGGCCCCGCGCCGCTTGCGCCCCCCGCGGCCGAGGCGGGTCGCGTTCGCCATCTCGGGGTTCCTGCTTCGCGGCGGACGTCGTTTGCTCGCTATCTGCATCCTCGCCATGTCCGCGTGCCCCCGCAGGACAGGCGGGGCGGCAGAGGTGCGCGGGCGCCGCGCGGCGCCGCCCGCCGCCGCCGCGGGGGCGCCCCGCCTGCGCCGCGGCCTCGTCCCGCACAAGAGCGACCAGGAGTCCAACAGAACAGGCGCGAACGACGAGCACGCCCTCTTCGTTCGGAAGCGCTCGCTCGCGCCCCCGCCGGCGGCCCTCCTGACCGCCGCGCCCTTCGCCCTGCCGCCGGGGGTGGACTCGTTCACGTTGCTGTCGCAGCTCAGCCTCCAGGTCTGCCGCGAGCTGTCCCAGGCGCGCCTCCGCCCGCACCTCTGCAGCGGGGCCTCGGACGACATGGCGTCGCACTAGAGGGTGCTCCTAGAGGGTCAACGTCGCGGACGCTGGCGGCCCACCAAGAGTCTCAACCGCCACGCCAACATGACGAAGTTGCTGGACGTGTTCAGGGCGTTCGTGAAGGCCCACCTGGCCCACCTGGTCGGGCTCATCGACGGCTTCCCGCCCACGCTGCCGACGACTGGCCGCGCGCTGGCCGCGGTCGCCAGCCTACCCGGAGCGCCGGCCGTCGCCCCCCGGCGGAAGAGCAGGCGCCCCGCCGCGGCACCGCGACGACCTCAGGCGGCCCAGAGGCCATCCGACAGCACTTGCGGAGACAGTATCAGCGGGCGGCCGCTCCTTGTCACCTTCGCCGGCGCCCTGTGCTCGGGCTGTTCTGCGGCGCCGGCACGATCGTTCAGGCGATGTGCGCTCTGGGCTTCTCTGGCTTCGGGGTCGACTGGAGCCGCAGTCCGATGGAGGACCACACCGCGTCGGCAATCCAGTCCGTGGTTCTCGGCTGGGTTGCCTCTCTGGCAGCGGTTGCTATCTGGCTCGGCACGCCGTACAAGAGCTGGACGCGAGCGTTCCGGCGGCCTCTCCGCTCTTCATTCCACCCGATGGGCCTTCCAGATGTGAGCTCCTGTGAGCAGGCTAGATTTGATGCCGGCAATGCTATTTTCAGATTCACGGTCCCTGTTTTTTTGTTGAGAACGTTCAGACCTCACTACTGTGGTCGGGCCCAGCGCTGGCTCGTCTCCGTAAGTCGCCTCTCTGTCGCAAGTCTGCGTTACATCAGTGCCAATACGGCACGCCCAACAGAAAGGCCACCACTGTTTGCTCGTGGGAAGCGGCCGTTACGCCGCCGCTCGAAATGACTTGTTCGGGGCGCCGTGGTTTTTGTGGCAGGATTGGCAACAGGCACCTCATCCTTGAAGGGAACGAAGAGAGAGGTCAGAAACGACCCGCCGTCTCGGATCAGTACCCCTCTCGCTTCGCCGCCGCTGCTGCCTCTTGCACTGTTCGGTCTCTGTCCTCCCAGCCGGATCGCGCCCTCCAAACGCTCGCTCTGAGAATGTTATAAATGCAGCTTTCGGCCAAAGGTACCTTCGGGGTCGGGCAGGGGACGTCTCAGGACCTCCCTTGCTGCCGCAGTGGCTTGCGTCCGTGTCTCACCCGCCTGTCCCTTCCCTGCCCCAAAACAAACGGCTAGAACGACGACGCGAGCTGGGTGTCACAACACTTTGATGCTTAGCAGAGTCGGGGATACGGACGCCCTCGCATGTCAGCCCGTCTCGATCAGAGCGCTTGCCATCCGACGCCATTGTGCTCAAAGTTTCCCCAATGCCATCCCACGGCCTACTTGGCATTTTTTCTTTGAGGGCAGGGGGCGTTTCAGGACCGCCCCTGCTGCCGCACTGGCCTGCGTCCGCATATCACCCGCCTGGCCTTTCCCTGTTCCAAAACAGATGGCCAGGACGACGACGCGTGCTATATATATATATATATATATATATATATATATACATATATATATATATATGTATATATATACATACATGCATGCATGCATGCATGCATGCATGCATGCATTCATACATACATACATACATACATGCATACATGCATATATATATATATATATATATATATATAAATTTACCTACAACATGCATGCATACATGCATACATACATACATATATACATACACATGCATGCATACATATACAAATATACACACACAAAAACATGTACACATACACATACACATACATATCATACATATCTATATATGCATACACATTTACATATGTACTTATATATGTGTTTACGTATATGTCTATATGTAGGGTTTGTTTTATTTTGTGTATGTATATATAGATATTCTCATACGCACCTCTCCGAGGGAGTAGAGCTCAGGGGCGATTAATGCGCACGCGTCCGCGATTGTTCTGGGCGTTTTGCTCGGGACATCCTCGAAATTCTGAAAATCGGTGGCACCCCTCACGCAGATCGCGACGTCAGGGTCCCAAAACACATGGGAAATTCAACATGTTAACATAAAACCTTCAAAAACACATGGTAAGTTCAATAAGTGTGACCCCGATTCTCAGTGAATGGCGGTTTCGCTTGAAAAATCCTTCCAACATCGAGCCCCAGACCCCGCCTCGGAGCCTCCTGGTGGCCTCCTGGAACCTCCTGGGGCCTCCTGGGCCTTCTGAACCTTCTGGCACCCCAGACCCCGCCTCGGAGCCTGGGGGTGTCCTGAAACCTCCTGGGGCCTCCTGGGGCCTCCTGCGGCCTCCTGGAGCCTCTTGGGGCCTCCTGAAGCCTCCTGGGGTCTCCTGGGGCCTCCTGAGGCCGCCTGGGGCCTCCTGGGGCCTCCTGGGGCTTCAGAACTACATGCACACAGAGACACAAATCACGCCCAACACATCACACGCTAGACAAACATAACACACACACACACACACCTACAACACACAAAAAGCACGCACCACACGAAGCATACATCACAAACACACACACACACACACACACACACACACACACACACACACACACACGCACACGCACACACACACACACACACAAACACACACACACACACACACGCACAACAATCACAATCCTGGGGCCTCCTGGAGCCTCTTCTGGTATCCAAGTCGGGCCTCCTAAGGCTTCCTGGGGGCCCTGGTACACACATCGCAAGGTGTGGCAACCCCACTTGCGCTCGAGTGCGACTTCGATGTTGCATGTCACTCCTGCTTCAAACGCCCCTTCAGTTTTTTGTATGAGCCTGGGCACACACGTGCCACTTGTATATATGTACATGTGCGCCTGTCTATTTATTCATATACACATACAAGACTGCATTATCGCCCTCGCTTGCGAGTTCTCCCCCATCCTCTTCAGCTGTTTTTGCGGAGGCTCCTCCTTGGAGAGCCTCTGGGGGGTTCACGGAAGTTTTCAATTTGTCACGCATTCTGTGGGTTTCCTGAGCGTCTTCTGGGGGCATCATCTGGGGGCTCACCCGGGCCACTCTACCTCCAACCGCGGTTTCCCTGAACGACCAAGTCACGATTTGGAATGTTTCGGAGGGTGTCTCGGGGCCATCTCGGGCCGTCGCTGGGCTCTCTTAGGCCATTTTGGAACCCTGTTGTGCCGTTGTGAGTGCTTTCGGACTGCTTGGAAGCCCTTTCGGATGGTCTGTTGCGATCATCGAGCCACCCAAGCGGTCTCGGACGCCCAGAAGATCGAAGAACATGGCATCCCAAAAATCATGCGACAAAAACATGGAAGATACATGTTTCCTGCATTTTGAAGGCCTTTGGGGGGTCTTATTGGATCATCTTCGGGCGTCTGGTGGATGTCTGGGGCCTGTTGGGGTCCTCGGGGGGCGTTCGGCCACCCTCCTGACCGATGTGGGCCCGCTGCAAAGGCCCACCAATCGCTTCCACGAGCACTGACACGCCTGGGGGGGCTCCCACATGGGCGTCAAGGGGGCCCCCGGGGCCACGGATCCAGGGGGTCCAGAGGGTCCCGGGGGCACGGAATTCGGGGTTCGATCTCGGGGGGGGGGGTCCTGGGTAATACATAAATGGATACATGTGTTTTGCTTATGTATGTGTGTATATATATATATACCTATATATAGAGATATGTACAGAAACATACATATATATATATATATATATATATGATACATGTTTATACACACATACACGTGCCGACACATAATATATATATATATATATATATATATATTATATATATATACATATAATATATATATATATATGGTGTGTGTACATATACACATACACATATATATATATATATATATATATATATATATATATATATATATATATGGCATCTCCCCCGAGTGGCTTATACTGAGAAACTCCCGTGAAACGTTCGGCGCAGCCGACCCCAAGAGGGTCATCCGTAGTTTGCTTGGCTCAGAGGGCGCGCTGGTGTTCGCCAGCGCGCCCAGTGGGCTGCGCAGCGGGCCGCGGCCGCCCGCCGCCGCCGTAGGCTCTCCCGTGGAGGGACAGCCTGTGCGCCATGGTGGCTGGCGGCGGCGGGGCCTGAGATGGCCGGGCTCTGGATCAACTCGGAGCTCGACTCCGACGCCCTAGAGCGTGTGGCGCCGAGGCCGGGCACGCTGCTGCAGGTGGGCGTGCTCGACGAATGGGCCAGCCAGGGGTCCGAGCTCGTCTGCGTCGAGCGCGCCTGGCGGCCCACGGGCGGCGGAGTGCTGGTGGAATTTCAGCATATCGCCGCGTCGGACGCGTACTTCGAGTGGTACGCCTCGGCGGTCGGCGAGGCGGGTGCTCGGGGGGCCGACACGCTGCTGCACATCTGCGCCGTGCTTGCGCGGGAGTGCCGCGTTGTCGGACAGGACGGCTACACGCTCGAGCACGTCAACTTGGTGCGCCGGTGACCGAGCACGAGGCGAGCGCGCTCTGCATGCAGTGGGGCAGCGACGGGACCATCGAGCGGGCTCGCATCGCGATGGCTCAGCACGCCGATGGAGGTGCAGAAGGCGATCGAGGCGAGGAGGCTGCTGTGCCCGAGCCCAAGGGCATGGACGACGAGGACGAGGACGACGGCGAGCACCTCGAGCCAGGGCCCGAGGAGCTCGCGGGAGCCTGGCGTGCCTTCGAGGAGGGCCCGCGCTCGCCGCCTCGGCGGGAGCCGGCTCGGGCCGCGCTCCCTCTGCCAGAGCCGCGGCGGCGCCCGGCTCCCGGCGAGGGGGCCCGTGGCGACGCCTTGGCCCCTGCCCCTCGGAAGGCGCGCGCCCCCCTCGCTGGCGGGAGGCCGGACGTTGCTGGCCAGCCGCGCGAGGGTGGGCGGGCTGGCGCGCGCGCGGGGGCAGAGGCGCGCGGCGAGCCCCGCGGCCGCGCGCCGCCCGCATGGCGCGAGGCGCCGCCTCGGAGGTCGAGGAGCCGTGGCCGTGGCAGCGCGGGTGGCGGCATCGATGCTCTCGACGAGGCCATGCGCCAGCTGGAAGGGACCGACGTCGCGGGGGAGCGGGCCCAGGAGCTGCTGCAGGAACGCGCGGTGGCTGCGCAGGGCCGCCGCCACAGCAGTGCCCACAGGCCAGCGCAGGAGGTGCTCGCCTCGCGGGCCATCGAGAAGGTCGGGAGCCCAGGCCGAGGGCGCTCGAGCCACGGGCACTCGAGCTTCGAGCGCGAGCTGCTCGCGAGGCTCGGTGGAGGTCGTGGCCGCCGCGGGAGCCCGCCGCGCGACGACGACGAGTCGGGTGCGAGCAGGGAGTCGGACGACGATGTACTTGGGGATCGCCGCGAGGGCCGAGTGAAGCACGACCACTTCATCGACTACGCGAGGCGCAAGCCGGGTCGCCTCTTGAAGTCGGGGCTCGAGGCACTCGCCAAGCAGTTCCCAGCGGGTGCCCCAGGCGGCGAGCTTCCTGCCTGCTGCCGGGCCTTCCTGGACACGGTGTTCTTCGTCGAGCACCCGCCGAAGAGTCTGGGGGCGCACGAGGTGAGGCTGCTGCGTGCCCTCGCGACCATTCTCGACATGGGCTTGTCGGGGTCCACGGTCAAGGCGCTCGATGTCGCGACGCAGGAGTTCAAGGCCCGCACCGCGGCGATCAAGGGCGGCGACTGGTACACGGCGAAGTGGATGGCCCTCATCCCTACCGACGCTCAGCCCAGCGCCGCCTCTCGCGACGAGGAGGTGGCAGCGCGTCGGGTGGCCCACGCGGAGTTGAAGCGCGAGGAGCTCCGCGAGAAGCTGCTCGCCAAGAAGCCGCATTTCTAGGGGCAGGTGCCACGTCGCGAAGCTGGAGCACGCGCTTAGCGTTGTCTACGCGTGCCGTGCAGACCCAGGTGCATTCGGGTCGCACCTCCGTCGCGTGGGTTCGGCGCAGCCAGATCCGCGGGCAGCGCGTCGTCGTGACCTCCCCCCGCTGCCTCTGCCGGTGCAGAGCTCACTCCTAGCGACGGAGGCCCTCATCAAGCGCGGAGAACCGCTTCGTGACCGGGGGGCTCTCGTGGACAAGGGCTGCCAGGAGGCCATCGGGTGGGCCATCATTGCTGGGCTCAACTTTGAAGCAGAGGGGCGCCCGGCAGGCGCGCCTCGGGCCTGGCCTCAAATCGCGTCTCAGGCGCAGCAGGTGGCGCTTGCCAATATCAGCTGCGCGGCCGCCTACTTCGCGAAGGACGCGCTGGAGCCGCTGAGCGACCTGGACGTCGACAAGCTGATCAAGACAAAGGGGATCGGCTACAGCGGGCAGGAGGTTGAGCGCGGGGGGCCTCTGGTGATGGGCGAGCTACTACCAGGGCTGGCCAAGTCGGGGTTGGCAGGTTCCGTGCAGGCCTTGGATCTCGCGGCTCCGCATGTGCAGGAGTGGTTGTTGGACCCCACGCTGCTCCTCAAGCCTCAGGACGAATGGCCAGAGGAGGTCCCGAAGGCCAGCGTGCAGGTGGCAAGCGACGATGAGTGGTACGCCAGGTGCAAGCACTTGGTGGAGGCAGGCATGTTCGAGCCTGTCGAGGACCAGGAGATCTTCCAGGTCGGGGGGAAGCAGGTGCTTGCGGGGGCCTTTGCAGTTGCGACGTCGGGGACCCCGACCCCGCCCTTCACGAGGGTCACCAGGCTCATCATCAACATGGTGCCGCAGAATGCCTACCAACGGATTGCTGAGACCGACCTGGACACGCTGACCCCCAGCTCGACGTGGGCGTCCATCGTCGTGCCCGATGGCCAGGCCTTGTTGTGGTCGTCAGACGACCAGTCGGGGGCGTTTCATCTGTACGCGCTACCGAGGGCCTGGCGGGGGTACATGGCGTTGCGCAAACCGGTGCCTGGGTCGCTGGTGGGGCGGCCGCAGCTCAAGTGGGTCAAGATGGCGGTCGCGGTGATCCCGATGGGCTGGCTGTCTGCTGTGAGCCTGTTCCAGCACCTGCATCGGCGGCTAGGCATCGGTGATGGGCCTCACAGCGCGGGGTTCGACAAGAAGGTGGAGTGGCGGCGTGACCGCCCGCTGCCGCTTGTGCCTCAAGCCAAGGCCCAGGCGTGGGCGCAGTACTACCTGGACGATTTCGATTCCCCCGAGATCGTGCCCGAGAGCGTCGCCACCCTCATCGAGGGGACCATCAGCGACTTTCAGGAGCGCCAGCGGAGGGCGTACTCCTCTGCCCGCGTCCCCTGGTCGGACAAGAAGGCGGTGTGTCGCCAGCGTCGCCTCGTCAGGATGGGCGCCCTCGTGGACGGGGACGCCGGCCGCGTGGGGGTCACGATTGACAACCTGATGAGCGTCGGGCAGATGATCATGTGGCTGCTTGCTGGCAAGGAGAAGGTGACCGCCAAGGCCTGCCTCATGGTGCTGGGGCGGCTGGCCCGAGCGTTTGAGTTTCGCAGGCCGCTCTTCGCGACGCTCAACGAGGTATGGATCATCCCCGAGCTGCGGGGCGCTTCAGAGCAGGGGGGGAGCGCCCTGCAGCAGGTCGTTCGCCTGCCCGAGGGGGCGCGCACCGAGCTGCTGGCCGCCCTGTGCCTGCTGCCGATGGCGTTCACCAGCATCCGCGCGACCTTCGACCCCGTCGTCCTCGCCACCGACGCCAGCGGGGAAGGCGGCGGGCTGTGCTACTCGACGGGCCCCACCAAGCATGGAGCGGAGGTGGCGGGCGCCGACCCTGGTGAGGAGGGGCTCGCCTTCTTGCCTCGGGGCGCTATGTCATCGGCGGTGCCGCCGGAGCTGCTGCCTCGAGGGGTGCCCTTGCCGACAGTGGCGCTCTTCGACTTCTTCGGTGGGATCGGCGCGGCGATGGTGGCCTCGTCGCGGTGCCCCTGCAGGGTCGTCATGTACGCTTCCTCGGAGATAGACAAGGGGGCAAAGAGGTGCGTCAGGCAGCGATGGCCAGGGGTGATCGAGCTGGGGGACATCACCAAGCTCGCCCCAGAATCGTTGGAGAAGGTCGTCCGCTCTGCAGCTGAGGTGGCGAGCTGCGCGATTGCAGGTGGTGGCTCACCGTGTATTGACGCGAGCGGGCTCAATGCAGCTGGCAAGGGGATCACTGGTGCGAAAAGCGGGCTGTTCTTCGAGCTGCCCAAGGCCTTCAAAACCATCGAGCGGGTCTTCGGCAAGCGGCGCACCAAGTGGTTCGTCGAGAACGTGGCGGGCATGCCGCAGGACGACATTGCGATGGTCACCGAGGTGCTTGGCGTCAAGCCGTACCGCATCGAGGCCATGGATGTGGGTGCGGTGCGTAGGCCGCGCCTGTACTGGCTCTCCTGGCAGCTGCAGGCCCGCGAGGATGTGATTGAGATCCAGGAGGCTGAGTTCTACCACAAGGTGAAGCTCCATGTCGCTGCTGAGGCCGTCCCAGTCTGGGCTGAAGACGGTTGGAGCCTGCTTGACCCTAGTCACGTGCTGCCGACCTTCGCTAAGCTGTACAAGAGGAGCTCCCCCCCAGCTCCGGTCGCAGGGATCAAGACGGCCAGCGACATCGCGATCGAACGATGGACAGCCTCCAGCTATGTGACGCAGGTGTACAATTTTGAGGATCAGAACCTTCTCCGGAACGCGGCCAGGGACAAGTGGCGCATCCCCTCTGCTGATGAGCGCGAGACGCTGATGGGCTTTGATCGCGGATGCACTCGCGCTGCTGTGAAGGACTCTGTGCCTGGAGTTGAGGCAGAAATCATCAGGTCGTCGCTCATCGGGAACTCGTTCTCTGTGCAGGTCGTGTCATACTTGTTTGCGCAGCTCCTGGCTCGAGAGGCTGGCCGTGCGGCCCCCGACATCGCGCCGCTGCTCCGCACGGGGGCGGCGCCGCCATCGTGGGGCCAGGAGCCCGAGTTTGGGGGCGCCGAGGTTAGCGATCCTGACCTCGAGAGGCGGCTGGTGTTCAAGTACCTGCGGATCGCCAGCAGAGGAGGTGCAGACGTCAGACTGGACCTGCAGGCCCCCTTTCGTGCCAAGGCCTGGCCGCGCTCCGGGCTGCAGTCCAACCTGTGGACGCGGTCCATTGGGCGCGGCTTCCCGTGGAGGCAGGAGGCGCACATCAACGAGCTGGAGGTGGGCGCGGCTGTGAATGCGGTCAAGCGGCGTGCCCGAACGACGGCTCGGTTCGGGACCCGCTACCTCCACCTCCTCGACTCGCAGGTGGCGGCCAGCGTGCTCGCCAAGGGGCGGTCCAGCGCCAGGGGGCTGCGGGGCTGGATGCGGGCGCACGCGTCGTACCTCGTCGCCTGTGGCAGCTACCCGCTGTGCGCGTACGTCGACACGGACGACAACCCAGCGGATGTGCCGTCGCGCTGGTTTGACATGGGCTGCCAGGGGCGTCGGCGCGCAGGTCGCGGCAGCGCGGCTCAAGCGGGCCGTGGACGCCAAGCGGCTCAGGCGTAGCAGGCCGCTTCAGGATGGACGAATTGCTGCAGTCACCCGGCAGCGCTATGAACAGGCGCGACAACACTTGCGAGTTTTTTTCAACGAGCAGCAGCTGCGCCCAAAGACCGTGCGGGATGTTGACCAAGGCGTTGCCCTGTACATCGAGCACGTATGGCGCACGGGCGGCTCACTACTTGCTGTGAACAATGTGCTCGCTGCTGTGCCATTTTTCAGCCCGTGGCTGTCGGGCAAGCTGAAGCAGAGTTGGAAGCCCCAGAAAACTTGGCTTATGTTGGAGCCCAACGCCCGTGCCATGCCGATGCCGCCGCTGCTCGCCCTCGCCTTTGCAGGAGCCTTCTGCTGGTGGGGCTTGCCGCGGGCGGGCGCCTTGCTCGCCGTCGGCTACGCGGGGATGCTGCGCAGTGGTGAGATGCTGCAACTGAGGCGGAGGGACATTCGCATCTTTCAGCGGCGGGTGTCAGCGATCGTGGCGCTCCGCAACACTAAGACGGGGCAGCGCGACGGCAGGCTTGAGCTCGTCATGATCCGCCCCAGGGTCGCGGTGAAGCTGCTGGCGCAGCATGTGCAAGAGCTACCGCCCGACGAGCTCATCCTGAACATCGAGAGGGGTGAGTTCATGCGGCTCTTCAGGCGCGTGGTGGTCGCGCTGGGCCTAACAGACGAGAGGGTGGCCTTGTGCTCGTTTCGACGCGGAGGCGCCGCGCATGACTTTTTGGAGCATGGCAGTCTCGAGCTGACCCTGCTGAGAGGGAGGTGGGCGAGCGCGCGGTCTGCACGGGTTTGCGTGCAGGACGCGGTGGCCGCGCTGGCCGAGCTGCAGCTGTCGGACCTGCAGCTTGCGGATGCCCGCGCGCTCGCCTCCCATGTCTGAAAAGGATGCTTCCCTCTCCTCCGACCCCCTCCTTTCAGACCTCATCCTATTCCTCTCCTTTCTGATCAGTCAGTTTCAGGAGAGGCGCCAGGCAGGGCATGCATAGAAGGGGGGGAACGCCCATCCTGCAACGCAGTCTGTGCAGAGTAGGGGTCATGGAAGAGTCTTGGTCCCCCCCAGAGTACCCTCAGAAGTTCCTAGCACTCGGGGCTCGCTGAAACCTCCACCCTGCTGGCTGCCGGGACTTCCTGGTGAGCCAGTGCGGGTGGGGGGTATTCGGCGAGCTCTGGCTGGTGGGCTGGCGTGGGCCAGTGTGGGCCGGTGTTGGTGCGCGGGGGTTTTTCAAAACTTTTGGGTAATTCGGGCGGGCCCTCCTCCTTTGAACACAGCGCTCTGGCTGCGCCGAAGAAAAGCGGAGGGTCGGGGTATATGGCATCTCCCCGAGTAGATTATACTGAGAAGCTCCCGTGAAACGTTCGGCGCAGCCGACCCCAAGGGGGTCATCCGTAGTTTGCTTGGGCCACCTCCCGTGTCTGTGCCTGGCGTACTCGCCATAGCGCATTCTGTGCGTGCATGCCTATTCAGTCTCAGAGTCTCGTCATAGCGCATGGTCGTGCGTGCATGCCTGTTGCTTCTCAGAGTCTGAGTCTTGGTCCCCCCCAGAGTGCCCTCATAAGTTCCTAGCACTCGGGGCTCGCTGAAACCTCCACCCTGCTGGCTGCCGGGGCTTCCTGGTGAGCCAGTGCGGGTGGGGGGTATTTGGCGAGCTCTGGCTGGTGGGCTGGCGTGGGCCAGTGTGGGCCGGTGTCGGTGTTGGTGCGTGTTTTTTTTTTTTTTTTTTTTTTTTTTTTTTTTTTTTTTTTTTTTTTTTTTGTTTTTTTTTTTTGTTTGTTTTTTTTGTTTTTTTTCTTTTTTTTTTTTCAAAACTTCTGGGCAACTCGGGCGGGCCCTCTTCCTTCGAACACAGCGCTCTGGCTGCGCCGAAGAAAAGCGGGGGGTCGGGGTATATATGTATATACACACAAGATTTTAAGGCTCGCTGCGCTTCGCCTTCTAATCATGATCCTTGCACCTACGATGTTTCTGGGCGCGGGCGATAACACAATTGTTCAATGAGGGGTGTGGAAATTGCGCGAACGGAGGCGAGGCGAGGCGAGTGCGCGGTAGCGCCCGGGGCGGGGCTCAGGGCGCAGCGTTGGTGGACGCTTGAGTGGAGGTGGAGGTGGAAAGTCGGATGCCGGACGCTAGAGGTCGGAGTGCTGAGCTGATGGAGGCTGGAAGTCTATAGGTGGAAGTCCCACCAGCCCTGTAGGGCTACGGTGGTATAACGGGTTTGGTCTTCTCTCTTCCCCTTCCTGCCCCTGCTCGGGGGAGGGGCAACCTTCCCCTGGACCTGGAGGTGGGGGGATGGAGGCGTTAGAGCGTCCAAGATGGCTCAAGATGGCTCCAAGAGGCGCTCCAAGTCGCAAGATGGCCTCCAAGATGGCCCAAGATACCTCAAGATGGGTCAAGATAGCCTCCGGCACACCTCCAAGAGTCCTCAAGACGGATCCAAGTGCCCCTCGAGCCCTCCACGGCGCCCTCCAAGAAGCCCAAACCCTTCAAATGCCTAAGGAAAGCCGATGTCTTTGGCATTCTCGTCTTTTCGCTTCCGATGGGCCCCTGAGGCATCAAGATGGCCCCAAGATGGCCCAAGAGAGCCCCAAGAGGGGCCCAAGAAGGCCCAAGACGGCCCCAAGATCGCCCAAGAGGCTTCCAAAGAGCGCTCCAATACGTCCCCAAGACGCCGTTTGAGAGCCTCCGAGGGGGGGGCCTGAATAGAGGACCCCCGCTCTTTTTGAACAACGGGGCCCAAGACGGCCCCGAGAGGCCTCCCAGCCTCTCCTGAAGATTCTCCACCCCGCCCGTTTGGGCCCAAGATGGCTCCAAGAGGGCCCTAGATAGCCCAAGATGGCTTCCAAAATGGCCCAAGATAGCCAAGCATGGCTCAAGATAGCCTCCGACAGATTTCCAAGAGGCCTCAAGACAGCCTGAATATGGCCCGACATAGCCGAGCATGGCTCATGATAGCTTCCGACAACCTCTAGCCGAGCATGGCTCAGAATAGCTTCTAACAGGCCTCGGCAAAGCTGGCAATCAATTCTGGACGGGCTGGTGGGATACTTTTTGGTTCGCGGCTCCAGGGCGACGGACATGGAGCGGGTCAACGTCCGGGGCGCGGAACGAAGATAATTGGCCGTAGTGGCGCATGCACATGCCAGGGGCAAAATGAGCCTCATTGAGACGCCAGCGGCGTCGGCAGGTGACCGGCACAGACACCCCAGCAGGTGGGGGCGCCAAGGCGCGGCGACCGGCGGCGGAACGGGGGGGGAAGTCGCCGTTTCGGCGCCAAGCTCCAGCCGAACCACAAACGGAGGCGGGGCCACAATGGACGGCGCGGCACAGAAAGAGGATCCGAATGGCCACTGGCCAAGCGAAGCCACCGAGCGCGCACACAGACACGGGCTGCCCAAGGCCACCGCAGGGGGGGGGGGGAGGGAGCAAAAGCGAGCGACAACCGAAGGCTCAATGCAGCACAAGGAGTAAACGATGTTGCGGCAAAAAGGGGGCCTGGCTCACCATGGCTCACTGATGCTGAGAGTAGCTGAAACCCGCCAGAGCGCCATCCAGTAGAGGAAGACCACTGGTGTGCGTTCACGAGGCTGAGCCACCTCCAGCCAGTAGCCAGCGCGTGCACATCGTATCCGACTCTCGCGGTTCGGGGGCAAAACGATGCAAAGTACTGACGGGGGCCGATAGCAGATTGTTCTGCTAGGGGGGCGACCACGAACTGCAGAAGGCTGAACCACTCGATGCAGGGCCACTCCCTGGCGAAGCCAGACCTCGGGCGTCACCGAATGCATGGCTGACGGCCGAACCCAATCCACACCTGTCACGCAGCCCGGGCGCAAGCCGAGTACACCGACGCCAGTGGGCAGCCGATGGCTGGAGGTTACCGAGCTGCTGGGCCGCAACGCTCGTAGGCGGCATGCTGACGGCGGGCCATGACGTCCTTGAGGTAGAGCCATGACCGGGTCAGCGACGCACCAGGGCGAAACTCAGGCTAGAGGAGGCACAGCCAGCCGCTGAGCACCGGTGTCAATGAGGGATGGCGGGGCACCAACCAATGGACCAACGGTGCGCGTGCACGAGGCTGGCAACCGCCAGCCGGTAGCCAGCGCACATACATCGTATCCGACACATGCGGTCCGGGGGCACAACGATGCAATGTCCTGGCGAGGGTTGGGGCTGTGGCTTTACCGAGAAGAGCCAAACGAACTTGGACCGCGGAAGGCTGAACCACTCGATGCGGGGCCGCTCATTCGACGAAGCCAGTCACCATGTGTATGGTGGACAGCCCCTCCACTCATCACCTGCCACGCTGCCCCTGCGGAAGCCTGATGCGTCCGACGCCGGGGAATTCAGGTGGCTGGCAGTTGCCGCGCTGCTGGGCTGTGCCGTTCGCTGGCGGCGCGCAGAAATGCCGGGGCGTCCTCGCGGTGGAACCAAGGCTGGGTCGGCACTGATACTCTCTGGGCAGGTCACAGGGCGGGCGCTCTTCATCGGTCGGCGCAATCTATGCTGTTGATCGAGGGGGGGCGCAGCCGAAAGCCGCAGAGACACTGTGATAGAGCAGGAGGGGGCGCGGCCCAAAGCCGCTGGACACAAATAGATGCCCTGGGCCTCCGTGCACAGAACTTCTTGACCACGGGCGTGCTGACCTGCCAATGTGTCCTCGTATCAGAGCAGTGGCTGGGCTGGCAACCTTCGCGACTGAACGGGGGGGGGGCGCAGCCGAAAGCCGCAGAGACGCGGCGAAACAAGTTAGTGTTTTTTTTTTAAAAAAAAAAACCGGCCGCAGGCGGAAGCGCCAGCGGCGGGAGGTCACTGTCGGGCTGCGGCCGCGACTAGGGGGCGGGCGCGCGCGGGGCCGCGGTCAGGCGGCGGGCAGCGGCAACCCAGGGCGTCTGAGAAGCCAGGGCGTGCAAATCCAGGGAGTCTGCAGGGCAGCCCCTGAGGTGAACATGCAACGGCACATCCAGGGAGTCTGAGAGGTCAGCCACCGAGGAGAGCCGAGCGCAGCCAAAATGGCGCGCAAGACGTTCCCACTGTGAACAAAACGGACGAACAGAGGTGGGGAACGATTTCCGCGCGGGACGTCGATCCAGGGAGTCTGACGGGCATGGGCAGACTGACGCTGGTGACGCAGTCCAGCGGGAAAAGTAAACTGACGGCGCCAGCGAACCGTCGCGACGTCAGAACACGCATCCAGGGAGCAGAAGCCAAATTCGCCCGAGGAAGAACCTTCCACTGCTGAGATGCGCCTGCGTCCAAGGGACCAGCGATCTGGTCAGAACGCAGCAAGGTGCACGAAGCCCCACGGTGAGAACTCGTTGGTAGCGGAGAAGTGCACCGATCAATGCGACCCAGCGCCACCCACACGCCTGCGTAAGGTAGCACCCGAGGGACGGGACCGTCGTATACCCAAGACGCGCCCCTCACAGCCACATTGTTCCAGTGGCACGGCTGAAGGCCGTAGAAGCTGGTAGAATCCAGGGAGTGGCGCGGTCTATGGACAGGCGAAAACCGCCGGACCGCCCACAACCGCGCGCCAGGCCGGGCCTAGCAGGTGAAAACAACTACAGAGAGGCCAGGGGCCTCGGGTCCACACGCAAACGAGATGCCGTGAGGACGATATAACTGGCACGCACACCTGTATCCAAAGGCAGGAAGTGCGCGTGCCAGGGGGGGCGGCAGAAAGCCGCAAGCGGGCGAAGGGGAGAGGAGCGGGGTGTCTGACGAAAGTCTTCGGAATTCTAGGAGTGTCCAGGGAGTTGACTGCTCGATGCATCGCCCTCGGCTCCGAGCGGCCCGCTTGGGGCATCCCAGGCTGCGGGGTCGGTCACGGCTGCTGTCTCTCTGGGAGCTCCTCGGGCTGAAGGCCCATTCTCTGCGTGTGC